CGCAGCACGAGGGGGGGGGCCCCTACACCCCCACTGCATGCCCCGCCGTGGGGGGGGGAGTTTTCGGGAGGGGTTGGCCCCACCTTATTAAAGGTGGCCAAGGTTGAAAAACACTGTTCTAAAGCACTGTGACCAGAACCAGGAAAGTTTCCTCCCCGGGGGGCCACCTTCCTTGGGCTGCTTCTGCTCCCCTTCAGGTCCTTACACGGGGCAGTCCTGGCAGCTCGTTGTCCACCATGGTGGCCACGTGGAACTGGAGAAGCTTGACATCTTCTGCGATGACGTGAGCGGCCGCCCCGTTCTGTTCATTTCTCCGCAGCTGATTGTTGATTTTCACGATGTCGGCCAGCTTGTGAGTCAAGTCATCCTGCCAAATGAGGAAAGGGGTTGAGTTCTGGCTGCCCACTGGAAGGACTGTGGAAGGCAGCCAACCCCAACCTAGCAGCCCTGGATGGGATGGACAACAGCGCACACACTCCTCCCCAGCCGCAGCCCCAGGATTCACCCAGAGGCTCCATTCCTAAGCCACCCGGGGTGCAAGCCTGCTCCCCCCGAGCCGCCTGCAGTCACCTGATTCCTGGCCGAGCCTTGCATGACGACGGCCGGTCTGACCGAGAGCGGAGGGACCGGCAGCACGGTGCAAATCATCCACTCGGGCCGGGCGTATTTGGGGTCCATGCCCAAGATGAAGCACTCCTCGTCAGATATCCGCTTGAAGATCTCATGGACGCGTTCAGGGCTCAGCAGGATCTTCTTCTCTTGCGAGTCCTCATTCACGTGCTTCCACTCGGCATACAGCTCCAAGCCCGAGCGACGGATCCTCGGCTGGTAGCGCCCGCAGCCCCCGTGGCCCTTGAGGAAGGGGAGAAGTCACTGCCTGGTAAATCGAAGAGCCACTTGGGGCCACTAATTTCAGGCAACAGGCCAGTCAAGTTGGCCTTGAGTCTCATTTGGGGCACTCTGGAGGCTGAAGAGAGGATCAAGACCCACAAGAAAGTCCCTCCACAGCAGTGTTTTTGAACTGTGGCAACTTGAAGATGTGTGGACTTCAACTCCAAGAATTCCCTGGCCAGCCAGAATTCTGGGAGTTGAAGTCCACACATCTTCAAGTTGCCACGGTTAAAAAACACTGCTTTACAGGCTCCCCCGAACCATGTCCGGTCCAAATAAAAGGCAGCTGGGGAGCACTCAGCTCCCCTTGATCCCACATCACCAGGAGAACCTTCAGAGTAGAGCCTCTGGGCAGCTGAAACTGACTGAAATAGCCACACTGTACCCTCCTCACATATATACTTTCTCTTGAGACAGTATTTCTCTACGTTTGTTCTTTTGGGATAGAACTTCTATTTTCACCTCAACACCGTCTTTAAGGATTAGGCAAAAAAAACCCTAAAACCTGTGGAGTCCTTGGGGTTCTCTGAGCTTGGTTCTTCTCTTGCAAATGTTTCATTACCCGGCTAGGTAA